AGCGTATAAAATCTAATTTACATTGTCTTAGGAAGGCAAAGAACGGGATATCATTACATATACGACGTTCCCGACGACGCTTCGACGCCGCCATCTGCTGGAGTGTACCGTGCCCCAGGCAACGTGGGGGCCACCCCCCTGTCCAGGTCACCTGAATAGGGGCAAGTCATGGCACGTGATGTCTGCGGGTACAAAATAAGGGGATACAATCGGCGTGCATATATAACCATTTTTACATTAAGAGAACGGGGGTGAAGCATAACAAATAGAACCAAATAAGTAACGTGAATAAACTGCAAGAGCCAAGCGTAAATACTGTAACCACTGAGGAAACTAAACTGCAAAGCTAAGCAGAGTTTTGCGAGGGCAGCGGCGAGGGCAGGCGGAGTGAGGCGGAGCCCTATTGTGCGCCCGTATTTATACGACCCCAAACTGCCCGCGCAACGCCGCGGGACGCGCTGCGCAATTGTTTCTTTCTCCCCCGCCAGAAACATCCCCGCTTGTGATGCAAGCAGTGACCATTTAAGGACCTGCCCGAAACGCTGCGCGTGCTAGTGGCTTTACAAGACTGTAATTACCATATTTGTATCCTCACATTCCTTATGTACATTCTTGTATATGCATAAATAAATAATAAATAAAGAGAGAGAGAGAGAGGAGAGAGAGAGAGAGAGAGAGAGAGAGAGAGAGAGAGAGAGAGAAAGAGATGAAGATCGAGACAGAGAAATAGATATAGACAGAGTCAGGGAGAGAATGTTAGACACAGAGACATATAGATAAGGATATGCAAAGTCAGTGAGAGAATGACAGAGATAGAGCGAGGAAAGAGACAGAGATAGGCTGACACAGAGAATGTCAGAAACGAGGAGAGGCAGAGACAGAGGGACAGGGACAGGAGCAGAGGGACAGGGACAGACACAGACACGCACATGGAACACCGAACCTTACACACTCTCTGATATATTGTTTAATTAATAGAGATTCACTAATAAAGCTTATAATTGTATATGTTATCAAAAAGGCATAGATAAAGTTGTTCTTACGTTTTAGTCACATAGATTAGATATTAGTAAAGTTCATTTTATTCAGGAAAGTACATAAATAGTCGATTTACAAACATAATATTGGATTTATAGATAGAGCTAGTACATACAATACCTAAAGCCACTAGTACGCATAGCGTTTCGGGCATATTATTAAGAGAGGAAAGATATTTATATTTAAACAATTTTTTTTTTTTACCGACGCTCTCCCTATTGATGAGAACTACAACCTAATGAAGATAAATGTTAATTTTATGTAGATACTGTAATAAACGAAAGTTTTTAATGTCATCAGAGAAGCAGAAATATAGGCAAATTTTAAATCCCTTGTCATAAATATAACTGAAGTGAAAGCAAAGATATATGCATTTTGATAGTTACAAAGACAGCTCTTTAACACGGGTGGAACACGAACAAGGGGAACTTAGTACCCAAATGAGCCACAGAGATATTAGAAAGAATTTTTTCAGTGTCAGAGTAGTTAACAAATGGAATGTATTAAGCAGTGATGTGGTGGAGGCTGACTTCATACACAATTTCAAATGTAGATGTGATAGAGCCCAATAGGCTCAGTACACCTGTTGATTGACGGTTGAGAGTCGGGACCAAAGAACCAAAGCTCAACCCCTGCAAGCACAAATTAGGTGAGTACAACTAGGTGAATACAGCTGAGGGGCGGGACCAAACAGCTGAAGCTCAATTCCCTACGCATAACTAGGCGAGTCCATAGGAATTACCGTTTGTCCTGGCGCCATCTATGTTTTGACAGCAGTACTTCTAATGTTCCCACGTTATGTGATGATCGCTATACACGGGTGTTAGGGTCAGTTGCTCTTCTATATATGTTTATGGACAACGTAGGTGATTTGAGGCAATTTGCGGCCAGAGTGAAATAGTATCCACGCGGTGAGTGATGGAGGAGGATATATAATGCTGTGTACTCGACCAGCGGGTGAGAGGTAAGTTATATCAAACAATTATGGGGAATAGATGGGTTATTTTAAGCGTAGAATGTCAGGTAACCGGTAACTACACAGATGGGGTAGTGTTTTTTTAAGTCTTTATTTACTAAAGTGGAACATTACATTATGCCTTTAGGTGAACAAGTCTACTGGTGGGGGAAGTAGACGGGTTTTATGAAAGTATGTTACCTAAATACTGTATTTGTATTTGGTTAACTAGTTCAGCCGTTACCAGGGAGGGTGTTCCTTTAATCTAATCTAATAATTCTAGCCGGATAAAGTGATTAAATAAAGAAATTGAATAGAACGAAGTGGTTTGCCAGGGTGCTTAACATTTAGTTCACTTACTATGCAGCCCATGCTTAAAGAAAGCAAGTTTAACATATTGAATTTACCGTAGTTTTACTGCATTTAATATACCGTTTTTACCCTATTTAAATGTCGGGTAAAGGCCGGTCGTGGAAAGTTCCTAATATAGCAAGTTTTAAAGGAAAAGTTTGAGTTAACTTGAACGCTTAAGTTAGTGACCAATTAGCTTAGTCTATTGTGAGGGAAGTTACTAGAATCTAGCATTGCAAGTGCCATTTCTCTACTCTTTTTGAGAAACATGACTAGATACATGAATCGCATAGTTTTATTACTAAATGTTCATGGATTAGGTTGCATAGTTGAGGAAATGGTGATAAGGTTTGTGATTTTGTGTACCTTGACTTAAGCAGAGATTTTGATAGTGGCGCAAAATTGATGGGGGCTCGGATCATTGGGAATGCTGACTGAAGTTGATTAGGTCATGGCTATACCAAAGGAAATTAGTATAAATGGGGTTAAGTTGGGAGAAGTGTTGTAAGTAGTGCCTAAAAGCTCTCCTTAGACCTCGGTTATTCGCAAGATTATGGTTTAGACTGCAGTAGTTGCAGAATTGGCAAATAAAAAATACCGATGCCCTATATAGTTTTGAAATGGTTAAGACTACCAGATGCAGTTTAATGCTGACAAATGTAAGGTTTGGGGGCTAGGTAAAGATGAGATAGATGGTGTAGATTGTTAAGAGTATTAAATTTTTTGCAGGTGGTAAATTGTCCCCGAGCTGGCACTGCTCTCCAGCCTGGGATGTTGATTGGTTAGTCTTCAACTGCCTCCCAACATGGTAGTGAGGTCCTGAGCTGACATGCAGTGAGGAACGTGGAAAGCTTCCTGAATTGGCACATGGTATGCCTCCCTTTCAAACCAGCAGCTGGCACAAATGTTCCAGCTAACATCAGAATAGTGGATGAAGCCCACACTAAAATGTAAGTGGTACAGTAAATGGACACTCCCCCCCCCCTCCCTTTTGACACTGTTTGTTTGTAATTAATAAAGATGGGACAACAAGATACTGTGTGCCATTTAAAACGGCAACTGTTAAACTGGTGGTACAGGTATGAACAAAATAACATCGCTATGCAAATAACTTTTTAGTAATATTTACTGTTCACATGACAGGTTGTGGAAGGTCCTGGCAACAAAGAGCTGCAGGATAATACTTGCAGATCTACAGTAAGTAGTGTTGTGTACATTGGAATTAGAGGGTAGAAGTTAATTGCTAAAAACCTATTAAATATTAGGGTATGGACGTCTAGGCTTAGGCTAGTGGGTACCATATCTGCAAGTTTAGTCCTTTCAGGAATGTATTGAATAGAATGGTATGTTGAAATTGTGAAAATTGTAATGTGGGGCATTAGATCTTAAACAGCGTAGTTGAGGGTGTTTCATTAATAAAATTTTAATGAAATATAAATCTTGTTTAGTTAACATTAAATGTTTGTTAAATAAGCTTTAATCTATAAATGTATAACACTGTTAAGGGTAATCATGAGTCAAAGTTAATGGCAGGAAAAGTTTTGTTCTAAGTGATGGTATTTTTCCCTTGAAAGTAAAAAAAATATTAAATGTTTACTTTAGCTTGGTTTTAAATTTATAGTTTTCCAGAATGTGGTTTGGAAAGTCGAGAAGTCCCTCTGTCAGTTGCTTCAACAGAATCAGGTGAGTTGTAGTAAAGGTTAATCTGAATAGATTTGCATAAAAGTAAAAAAATAGTAATAACTTAAACAATATAGCATTGGCTAAAGATAAATGTAAATTGCCATTGAAATGCAGTTGTGGATAGTTTCTCAAATGACATTTACTGAAACTTGGCAAATTGATGCCATTTATATTTATAAATTAGATCGTTACTACTGCTATAGGAAATATGTAGGAAAGGTAAATTCCTTAAAGAAATTTTTTCAATCTGAATTTGTAAAGTACTGAATGCTAATTTGAAAAGTAAAGCAAGACTGGCTTTAAATCTGAAATTATTTTGTTTAAATATTTTTCAGGTGAATGATTATGATGCATGGACTGAGGCTCCTTTACTCTGCAAAATGAAATCTACAAAAGTGGGCAAGTTTGAATTTGATGTTTTAGCTATATCAATGACCTAATCTTAATTCTCTTATCTAGTCCATTTATAGGTGTGTAACCATGTCCTACTGTTACAACCCACAGGGATTGATGCAGTTTGTACTGATCCTACCCCATTTCATAAAAGGGGACCAGGCAGTCCTGCAGATTTCCCTGGCTTGGCTTTTTCAGAGCTTTGCTCTACTACCCATCTAATAGATGGACTAGATTTGCATAGGTTTAGGGACCCTTAACAATGGTTACATTGTTAATTCTCACAGGGCTTGTTTGCTGAATGGGTGGATGCATCTAAAACTTTAGTGCCTGGCATGCATTGTACAGTGCTTTCAGTAAAGCATATGTACAATGTGTTGAGTGCACTAAAGTGGTGGATGTACTGCACCCATTCGGGGAACAAGCTCTGCACTAACATCTGAGGAAGGGATAGGCCTTGCTGAGCCAATCTTAAAAAGATTGGGAGTTAGGATTTTCTGGACTTCTTATTAGGCATTGGTGATAATAAAAGTGTCTCTGTTTAATGTTTATTTTTCTTTTACAGGTGATTGTCTCTGGAGTTGTCTTGGCCTTTTGGATCTTCTGTTCATCTAGGAGCATCTGTCCCACAACCTGAAACTAATAAATAGATGTATTATAAATACTATATGTAAAACTTATTAAATAAAACAATTTTAATGAAACTACTTTATATACCTTATCCTGAAATTATGCTGGAAATTATTGTTTACTACTATTGATGCAATGTTTAAACATCTAAAATGTTTTTACTTTGAACATAAATACTTGGTAAAATTTACACCTATTTGTAACTTGTTACATAAGTGCATGCAAAATGCATGGAAAAGATGTAAAAGTGGACTACCTATTCAATTTACATAAACTAACTAATATTTCAGACTAATTTGCAATATTAAAGTGGAAGAAACTTAATCAATATTTAAGTTTTCATATTTGAAAGTAAATTTAAAGCTATGCAACACCTAAGCTTTGTACGAATTATGATTAAATTAACTAAAGATCATTGTTACATTTACAAAACATTAGAAAAGTGACACTGAAGCATCTATACAACATGGTTTTCACAGTCTTTGGTAACTTAAATTTAATCAAAGCTCTTAAATGATTTGTCTGCCAAACTCTTCAGATATTCTGAAATATTTTACCTAGATTAAAACCATCATTGTTTGAAAGGGCAAAATGGATTACTGTCAATTAGTTTGACCTAACATCTGCAAGGTCTTGAAGGAATGGAATTTTTTTTGTAAAACTTTGTTTGCTAAAAACAAACCCTGCCTAATGAACCTGCTCTTTTTTTTTTTTTTTAAATGGTAATTGCAACATTACCAAAGGCCATTGTTTTAATAGCCAAAGTACCAAATGAAAGACCAAGAAGCAACAAACAGGTACATGGTAGAAAGGACAAAAGAATGGTTGAGGACCCTTTCATTTAAAAAATTACTGGGAAAAATGCTGTCATACCACAAGGGGTCTTAACCCTTGTCATATACATCACTGACATTAATCTAAATATTACCAACCACAAAAATTGCTGATAACATGTTATAAAAAAATTAAATATAATATTGAGGCCTTAATGCAGATCTCTAACTCTACAAATAGTAACAAGACCGGCAATTTCTTAATATAAAACAGAAAAAAATCCAACACCTTGCACGTGAGCCAGAACAATCCATATCACAACTACCACATTAAAATGAAACAACAATGAAGGTAAGGTAATTACCAAAAGAAGGCACCAAACCGGGAAGGCCATGTAGCACCATCAAAGTGCGAAATAATCAGAGGGCGCTAAATATCACCAAGAATGCCAATACGAGAACAAAAACGCATAAGGCAAACGATATCAAAAGTATCAGATTCAGCTAGAAATCTATCGAGGGACAAGTGACTGCGAGGGACGGTCGGAAAGCAAGACACACGCTCGTCCTGGAAGTCAGGACATTCAACAAGGATACAGATCCAAACTACTGGAATTCCATATTCATCATAATTACAATTAAGTACTATGTAACATTACAAAAAAACTGCTTTCTAAATATCACTTGAAAATTTTCAATTACTTGCTGCATCTCTTCAACAATTCAAAAATGTTCATTTAGTTTTAAGTATTTCCTAATTAAACTTGTAAATAAATCTCCTAATTATTTGTATTATTACCAAAACGTTCTGCGTATTAGCATCTTTATCTAGTGTACATTTCTTAGCCAATGAATTCTCCACCGTTTCATGTATCAAATGTATGTACAGTACTTTATATGAATAAAATATTAGTATTACAGTGGTACCTCCACTTACAAATTTAATCCGTTCCCAGAGACGAGCCGTAACTCGGAAATTCACAACTCCAAATGAATTTTCCCATAAGAAATAATGTAAATTAAACTAATCTGTTCCACATCCCCAAAAATATTAACTTAAAAATTCAGTTTATACCAAATACCACTATTTTTGTGCTAGCTACACTACAGTATCTTACCTTTATTGAGAACTTTTTTTGGCATATGGAAGACGGTGAGGAGGAGAGGTGTTACTGTTTGGAATGGGAATGCCCTTCGATTACTGTATAGCATCAGGCTGTGATGACTTCTCTGGGGTATTTTCTCTCCTACATTTTGCCTGCATACCACTAGGACCTGGTTGTGGCTCATTGCTGCTTGTCTTACTAAGACTCTGTCTAAAGACAATTGTTTTTCCCTATATTTAAACACTTGTTTTTTTCTCTATGGTCATTCTCACATGTGTTTTCTTAGGTTGAACCTCACCACTGACTTTCTTGGGACCCAATGGCATGATATATAATAATAACTTTTATGGTCAAAAAACAAGCACAAAACAATTAAATTCTTTACAAGCACGATTGTCATTAAGCGTGCAGCTCTGGTAAACTGAGGTGGGGTCGCCTGTGCCACCAGGAACCACGCACTCGGTCGACCCACATGTGTATGAACAAAGTCGCTAGTCGAGGCAACGGTCGTAAGCCAAGCCGCATTTTTTGACGAAATTGGGGTAAACTCAAAAAAATTGTAACTAGGGGCAGTTATAAGTCGAGGTGCCACTGTATTATAAGAAATGCAAAACAAAACAGGCCCTGCAATCATCCAAAAGTGAGACGGTACATTTTAGACAGAAAATTTCTGCCAGAGTAGAAATTTCTCCTCCCCCGAAAGGGGCAACAAAGCAGAAACAAGGAGGAATAAACTGAGAGCAATAACATCACAAAAATCTTTGAACGAGTACCAAGATTACAAAATACACAATCACAATATCTACACAAACCTGGACAACATGGGCTTGAAAAGACACGTTTGTCTCACACAACTGTCAGATGACCATGACACGGAGTTGGATGCAATGGAAAACGAGCAAAACACTGATGTAATATACAGATTTCACAAAAGCCTGACAAACGTGGCCATAGATTAACTGCATATAAAGCAGCAACAAAAGGAATTTGTTTATTAAAAGAAAAGTTAAAAGGAATTTATTCTACAATCCCTAAAAACAATTGGAGGTAGCCAGTAGGCAAGGAGGAAAGCAGATTGTAGGAAAATGAGAGGCGAGAAGAGGCAAGGTGAAGATAATGAGAAAAGGCAAGGGAGGTGAGGATAATGAGAGGAGGCAGGAAGGTGAGGATAATGAGAGGAGGCAGGAAGGTGAGGAGGAAAGGCAGAAGAGAGGAGATTTGCATGTGCTTACTTGTAACAACATACATTTGTAGTTTCTTCTCCATAATTGTCTTAAACGATCAGCAGCTATGAAACATCCGAGTACATTTGCCGATGCTCAAGTGTCCTTGCCTGCTACCAGCCACCTGAAAAAGACGTATTTTTTAGACATACATACACATACACACATATATACTCTAGTAAATTGTACATATGCAGTACATACTGTTTAAAAGTGTATTTTTCATTAGACTAAGTCAATATGCACACCTTGTATTGTCATATTTATATTTATTGCTTTGATGTATGTTATAAACTTGCAAAAACAGCACCACACATCTACCGCAATGGTTGCAATCAGTGCCGGATTATCCATGAGGCACAGTAGGAACAATGCTTACAGCCTAAGAGATAGTGGCGGCCCTACAAAAAATAAAACAAAAACTTCTATTCTTCTCCTTTTTCTACAGGATATTAAAATGATACCGAGGTATTGCTGCTATTTACGTACACTATTACCTTAATCCTATTATTATCTACATATATTACTTGATGATTTTCTGTACTATACTATTAAGGCACATTGTGGCCATAGAATAAAGCAAAATAATGTAATAGAAACTTGTTTTAAATAATACACAATTTTCTTTTTTTTAGTTCTCTAAAGTGAACTTTTTCAGAAAATATCTTTTACGTAATTAGTAGGAAATTTCTAGAATACTGCATATTTAATATGCGAATGCAACTGCTTCCGAAAATTTATATTTATAAAGGGGCCTGGTAGCACAATCGGGTTCATTCTCAATGCACAACTGAGAATACTGGGTTCGAGTCCCGCGCGGGACAGAAATGGTTGGGTTCTTTCACCAAATGTTCACCTAGGAGTAAGTAAGCTTATTGTGGGGCTGCATCCTGGGTGGGGTCGCCCGAATAGCCAGAAACGCTATGCGTACTAGTGGCTTTAAAGTATTGTATGTACTAGCTCTTTCTTTAAATCCAACATTATGTTTGTAACTCACCTGCAATGTATATACCTTTACCTGAATAAAGAATTTGAATCTGAATCTGAAACTTGACCTTGAGGGGTGGGGGATCTTGATATAAGCCTAACATGTATGAATACACACTGGCTTCCTGTCCCTCAACAATGAATTATTATTACAGTATTAATTAAATCACATTTTTGTGGGTTTTTTCCAGTGCAAATACAGTACTGTATTCTCAAAAAGTGCTATGTAAATTAACCCAGCTTAACTAAGATGGTTGGGAAGCTACCTTAGCATGCTGAAGTGCAGCTCACATTCAACTCAGTGCACCCTATCAGCCAAGATGCTCCAACCAGGGGAAAGACAAAAGCTAAAAACCCCAGACTTACCCTAAAGGCAAAGGACACCACAAATGAAATGGACCTCTACATGAGCATCCCCTGAACACTCCAGGAAAAAAAAACCCTAGCAGCACAAGGGCAGCATTAGGGAAGGAAACTCTGAACACATGCAGCTCCAAGTGCACTAAACTCCTGACCCCCCACACAATAATTTGTGTGTGGGTAACACAGTCAGTAATTTCAAAGCGTTATATGACAAAGAGTGCTGGGAAGATGGGACACCAGGGGCATAGCTGGCATCCTGTAACTACACTTAGGTAAAAAAATTACACTTGGGTAATTACACAAGTGTGCAAGGAACAGCCATCAAGGCAAAAGAACACCCGATAAAACATTGAGTTCAGAGAGAGTGTTGCACACCTGACACCGGTACACATCAGAGGAGAATTTATAGTAGAGTAGCCTGTGAGCCGTGGCCTGTCCCCTCTTCCTCCGCAAACAAGGGGGTAGGGCAAATGACCGGGCATTAGTTTCGATTATTTGTTTACATACTTTGGGGAGTTCTATGGCTGTTTCTGAGTCTGCAGGTCTCGGAGGCAGCAAGCTATGGTATGTTTCATCTCTCTGACTTTCTGGTGCCTTCCTTAGTAGTCACAAATAATAACTTAATACCTGTATATAAATACCATGGCTCCCTACATCTGTGTGAGGGGACCAGGTTTTGGCTCTAGGTCCCCGGTAAACAAGAGAACTCCACGACTGATTGCACCTACATCAGAGATAGTAGCTTCAAAGAGCCACATGGAGCTTTCCCCAGAAAGTACCACCAACTTGCCATGCTACCTTGCATATTAATATCAGACTAAGACAGTCAGTTGTTCCAAAGGAATTAAACAGCATACTTGAGTGTCTGGTTTGTAGCCTCTTGTCACTTTGGGGAAGAAAATGTCAATGTGACAACACCTCTAAAGAATAATGACACCTTGACACTATGTCCCAAAGTATCTGATCTTAACGCTCAGCATTTTATGAGAAATGAGTCATTGAACACTGGGATACTTGGCACTTTCTCTGACACCCTCTGAATGCTAGTCTCCAGACACCCATGGGACTGAACATACAGAAACTGGATATGTAAGGAGTGTGGAAATGAAGGAAGGTATAATGATGATACCAGCAAAATAAGATTACAAATAAACAAGCTATCTACCTGAAAACCAGACTAGGATGTCCAGAAATTTGGTTTTATAACGAATCTCCAGCTGCAAATCATTTTTTGCTATATCCCTGTTAGCATTGTATGTAGTGACCACTTCAGTGTCATTGGATAGAAAATGTCTCCTTTTGATTCATATCAGTGTTAAAATAAACACAATGCTGTACTGTGCTTATGTTTTGTCCACCAAGAATGGTAGTATCTAGTGACTACACTTGATACCTGTCATGTTCCTATATGTTATTGGAAAAATTATATATTTAAAGTTCCTGTAATTTTTGTGGTTTCATTCATTGATGAAGCATAGTATAAAAACATATGCTAATATCCAGTTTTCCTGTATTAATTTGTCCCTATCATTCAACATTTTACACTGCCTTTTCACAGTAACAAAGTAATCAACTGCAGCACACATTAAGTAATGAAATCAAATATTGCCCCGATACACTTCAACTCTCCCATGCACCTTTACATTCCCCCTTACTTTCCCATTCCCTACTTACACACTTCCACTGCTTCAGCCAACACCACAGGACCCGAACACCCTACACGATACATACATCTAAAGCTTAAAAAAGAACTGAAACCATCGTAAAGAAAAACAGGAAAGCTAAAGCACAAACAAATATCTAAACAAAATATTTATTTAAACATGGATAGTTAAGAAACAGAGCAGAAGCCAAAATTCTCATACCAGACTGAAGAAATATAAATAGAACAAAAAGCAATACAAGAGTTATGATCTTTTTTTTTTTTTTTTTACATATGCAAAATTAAACCCTCCACAAGTATTGGACCTATACTTACACGAGAAGACTCATATATAGAGGATGACAACAAAGTAAGTGAAATCCTGAAAAAAATGAACAAAAGCTATGTTTGCAACTTCAATAGACAACATGAAAGTTGAAAATAGACTGGTTCAACCAATGACGAGTGGACATCTGCTCTGCCTGGAAGCAGATGGAACATGTGATGTGATTTTACCATTGGGTTTTGTTATTACCATCTGGAATTCCTACTCAACAGTCCAGAGTATTACCATTTACCATTTGGTTTTTTATCGTTTCTCTCAGGAAAGTTGATAGATATTTTCCAATTTCTGGCTGGTTCTTCAAGTGGAGAGATGGTGTCCGGCACTGATTTGGCCGAGATGTCAGGAGTTGGTGGGTCTTGGTGGGCTTCTGGTCTGCCCTCAGGGTATAGTGAGTGGCTGGCTCCTACTCTGCTGAAGGTCACTGGAAAACATTTTTGCATTTTTTGCTCATTTAAGTGTAAGTTTAGGAGGGGCCATGTTTTTGCCTTAACTTGTTTGGCTACCCAGTGTTCTCAGTGGGTAGCCACTAAGAACACATACTGTATGTGTTATACTAGACCTAGGAATATTTAAGTTTGATTTTAGCTTTACTTTTCCCAGAGACTGTAAAATTAATAATACAAAGTGGTTTATTGTGGTCCACGACTACATATTGATATTTTCTACCAAATAGTTACTATTAGTACTATCCTTTCAGTATATTAGTATGTATGTAATTACCCAAGTGTAGTTACAACATGAGAGCTACACTCAAGGTGTCCCGTTTTAACAGTACAGTACTCTTTGTCGTATAATGCTTTGAAACTACTAACAGTTTTGGTTTCCGCCACTTTCTCACCTAACTTGCTCCAACCGTCTACTACTCTGCAAAAGAAAACTTTCTAATATTTTTTCATCACCTGTGTTTCCTCAGTTTGTTTGAATATGTGACCTCTTGTTCTAGAAGTTGCAGGTTTCAGGAATTACCCTATATCAATTTGGTCAATTCCTGTTATTTTGTAAGTGGTGATCATATCACCTCTTTTTCTTCTATCTTCTAGCTTTGGCATATTAAATGCCTCTAGCCTCTCCTCGTAACTCTTTTTTTCAGGTCCGTTAACCATTTTGTGACATGCCTTTACACCTTTACTGGTTTATTAATGTCTTTCTTAAGATATAGACATTATACAATTGCTGCATATTCGATTTTTTTTTGTGTTGGTTTGCATTTTTGTACCATTTAACATGCTTGCCTACCCCCCCCCCCCCCCCCCCTAACACCTTGAAGAAAAGGAATTGATTTCTTCTTCGTTCCTGCTCACATTTAGACGTTTTGCTACAACGAGATTCAGTACATAGTTATCAAGATTTGCTGCAAATATGTGCAGTTTCGATCATTACGTGATGGCCTTCATAAATGCTACATAAAAGGTTCATTTAGGTAACTATCAGAAGCCATAGCTCAGGCTCTATGCTGGATTGCATTCAGTATATATGGGTTTTGTATGACAGTCGACTTATTACTAATATATAAGACATATATATCCATATTATACATTTAATGACTCGTATAAGACTCGAGACATTACCTTTATGCTTTGGCGTTGATTTTTCTTATTTCTGCTAATGTGAAATTTGAATAGTCTTTACCAGCTGATTTGTGTTGTTGTCCAGAGAGGTCCCCGCCTCCGATACTCTTAAGGAGGCTTTGTACTCAATTCAAATAGAAGTCTCCATTAAAATACGTTGTAAAATATATATATTTACTATATTAATATATTTAATCAGCACAAAATTATATTTTCTAAATGTAAATTGCATCTAAGATATACTTTATTTTATTGCACTGGGATTGTGGGGTCTAAGACAGATTCGCTGGCCAAACATGTGGCTTGTTCTAGCAATACATTTCATCATCGTTTTCATGGATTTATAAACTTTTTAAACTTACTTATGTTTTTTTCTGTTAAGAATAAATATAAATACTAAATAAATAAAGAATTAATTTATGTTAAAATAGGAAATATCTTCAGAGATCAGCGAGTTTTTAAGTCAAAGTCACTTCCGATTGGTGAACGCGTCGTATGCAAGATGTTTGAAAGGATCATAATCTGTCACATAAAATAGGTAGACTAGGAGAAGGTGTCAACGGATTTCATACAGGGCGGAGCACAGCCAGCGGAATAGTTAATCATTTAGCTAATGACAAAGCTAAATATTTTGTTTCTGTTGTCATCAAAGGAGCCTTTAATGAAGTTCCAATAGATGTCCTAGATGATGGCAATCATCTAAGATTGCGATCCTAGATGAGCTTGCATGCATAGGTGTCAAGGGGACACGCTTGTCATGGATTGAAGATTGAATGGGTACCTATTTGTTTAACGATTTGACGGGGTTGAATTCGGGAAATATTAGGATTAAGGACTTGCCCGAAACGGTATGCGTGCTAGTGGCTGTACAAGAATGTAAGAACTCCTGTCCATATAAATAAATAAAAATAAAGATGAATATGAATCTTGGGACTCCACAAGGAGGAGTGTTAAGTCCCACACCATTCAAAATCTTTATGATCGCCATTGTTAATATATTGAACTTCCAATTCCACGTTGGATTGCTGTTGTTTTAGATTCAGCTACTCTGAACAAAAAGTTCCAAGTAGCACGGGCTATGGTGAGCCCGTAGTGAGTCAATCATCATTTGCTCTAATGATTTTGTCCAGCCGGATTTTAAAGTTTAACAGTTTTGGTATTTAACGGCTTCAGCGCCTAGGCTATTCCGTGGGTTTATAACCCTTAGGGTGAAAAAACATCTCCTGTTCTCAGTCCTACATTGTGGCTTGTTGAGCTTGAAACCGTTGCTCCTTGTTCAACGAGAACGCCATTGTTATTAAACAACAATCGTTGACGTCGTTAAGTTGGAGGTTAACCTTGTTAGATCTCAGAATGTTTGGTAATATGTTTATTGTTTGTGATGTGTTTATATGTATGTATTAACACGATGTACTGAACGGGGTGAGAATAGCTTGAGCTACCTCATCCCTTTGTGTGTATTTTACCTCAATAAACTTATTTCAATTTCAATTTCAATTCAACCTTGTTAGCGATTTTTTTCTTAGGGAACGTCCGGGAACTGCATTCGCTCTGCACGTCCATATGTATAAAACATTTATTAATGATGCATATTAACTATAATTTTATATATTTTTTTATTTAACAGGCTTAGATATACACAGCACCGTGCTGCTACCCTATTCTATATGAAAGATTACACAGTGTAGATAAAAAAACTAGCTATAAGTTCATCCAATATTCCCACCTTACAGGATGGTTAGTCATACATGAATCCGGGGAGAAATTACCTGTCTCGATACAAAACAAACCAACTCTGATTAAACAACTAGCCATAAGTTCATCTAAATATTCCCATCTCACAGGATAGTCATTCATGGAATCAGGGGAGAAAATACCAGCTTCAAATACAAAAATAAACAACTCTGACTAAGGGTCAACATAAAATGTAAGGCTGATCTATTAGCCCCCACTAGCAAAATCTAGGTACAGCATCCTAGCAGTGTACCGAAAATTTGCCAGTGTAGGCCACTAAACATATAGCCCTGTATGACTAACCATCCTGCGAGATGGGGACTTTTATTACCACTGCTACCTTATTCACTCTTTTGTTGATGATATCCTCAAAATGCATCCAGAGTCTGCCAGTGCAGACCGCCTATCACATGCCTCTGTATGACTAACCATCCTGTGTGATGGGGATTTTTTAGCATCACCTAGTTAGCTTTTTTGACACACTGTACTCCCCTTCATATAGTCTAGGGTAGCTGCACTAATGCAGATGTACCTCATGTATTAATAAAAAAATGGGTACAGCATAAGCATATCTTCCAATATTCCTAAGTGTATGAAGTATTACAGAGCTGTTGACCAAACCACACACTAGAAAGTGATGAGACGACGACGTTTCGGTCCGTCCTGGACCCAAACGTTGATTTCGGTCCAGGACTGTCCAATCGATCAAGTCGATTGTGATGCGAGGATGTTGTTGTTATAGATTCAGCTACTCGGAATAAGTTCCAAGTAGCACGGGGTATGGTGAGCCCGTAACATACCTGGTACAGGAGCGGGGCAAGTAGCACAGGCTATGGTGAGCCCGTAGTGGACTTACCTGGCACGGGAGCGGTGCCTGTGATGCGAGGAAGATTGATTGATAAAGATTAAGCCATACACAAGAGGTGGCACGGGCATGAATAGCCCGTAAGGATGCGAGGAAGGAGGCAATGGCAATAAATAGGCAAGAGAGAGGTGAGGAGAAGGAAATCTTGGAGGTTAGGAAGAAAAAGCAAGGCAACAGAAACGGAAGGTAATAAAGGGGGTAATAATAGGAATAAGAAAGAGATCGTAAGAGAAAGAAAAAGGGAAAGAAAAAGAAGAAAGATAAAAGATTACAGCTCTAATTACAGAGCTCAAAGTACCTCATACTATTTGGTCTGAAGTCGCTTATAACAGGGCAATCGCAGATATAGTGTTGGAGAGTATGTCCCAGCTCTTGTTCACAAAGTTTACAATTGTTATGTTTACCATGGGGGATTCAGATTTTAATATGGGGACGACTACATATTTAAACTATTTCTCTCGCTCGCCGCTTTGTTTAAAATTAACGTGGCTAACTCAACACCATAATATTTCGTCTCTATACCATTTACAATTCATTTCGTTCATGGCAAAAGTTTATCACAACGCTCGACATGATATATATTGCAAGATTACAGTTACTATATTACAAGTTTATTATAGTTGGGTATCGTAGCCTAGCACAATAATAAAGTGAAGGCAGAGGGAGTTGTCGGGGTGGTAACCGCGGTCTGCTCCACCCCGCTGCCAGACATCCGCCCGGCGCCGCCCAACCTCTTCGGAAACTCAATCGCTCGGTGTGCGGGTACTCCGCGCTGACCAATCAGAATAGCGGATACATACCGGAGGCTCGCGGTGTCCAATGAATACCGCCTGAGCGGTTGCAAGCGGGTGACCACAGCCATTGATTTGGCTGCGGTCCCGCGCTAACACTAGGGAAGCCTCAGTACCGCCCGTGGTTAGATTTCTTGCGGTGTGCGTTGCCGCTCGCGTATAAACTCGCTATGGAGAGCCTCATATCAACGCCTTACACTGGCAACAGTATCAATGATAAACTATCAGCTGCGGGAATCCTCGATACCAAAATAGAGAACAATCTTTCAGAATTAAGAAGATACGTGCGGGAGAAACTTCGGAGTGGCGTATATAAACTCACCACAGACAGGCGTGGAAGATCTAAAGTATGGGAACACTTTCGCATGGTGTTAGACGATCAGGGCAACTTGGTGGGGTACGCTGGCTGCATGTATTGTCTGGATGTACTGAGACACGACCCCCACATATCTGGTACTTCGTCGCTGTTCAGTCACCTTCGGTCGTGTTCTGCGGCTGGCGCTCTGCCCGCTCACAGCATAGTCGTTCCTGAAGTGCATGTCAAAGAAGAGGTATATGAAGACTCGAGGAATAACGAGGAATGGGATATATTCACGCGAACTGCTGACATTTGTGCTGAATATGTTGCCATTGATATGTTGCCATACCAGTGCCTGAATGGCCATGGTTTCAGAAAGCTGGCTCAGTTCCTGGTGGACTGTGGAGCGCTTCATGGTAAATTTGAAGTGGAATCTGTGCTTCCTCCAGCGGCTACGGTGGCGAAGCGTGTGTGTGCTCGGGCGGGGGAAGAGAGGAGGAAGCTTAGGGCAGCTCTTCGCTCTCATCTGTTACATGGAGCAGCAGCGGTTGCCCTTCACACATTCAAAACCCATGCCTATTCGTCCATCATGGCATTAACAGTGCATTATGTCAAAGACTGGAGTATTGAGACAGACTTTCTCGGTGTGTGTGATTTTCAAAATGATATCCAGAGAAGACCGAGAGAAGTATTACGCTTCGTAGGGAAATTTGGATTTGAAACTACACCAGAGAAGTTGACGCTGATAATGAGTGCCCAGGAATCTGTACATGACATTTGCAAAGATGCAACCATGATTAAAAGTTTTTCATGTATGATAAATCAATCTGTCAATCAGCTACTTACAAATGATAGGCAATCTACAAAAGACATTTTTACAAATTTAGAAAAATTCAGAGAGATTATCCGGCTTGTCAACAAGGATAACGCAAAGTTGTCAGCACAGTTGGAAGTGGATATTACTAACGGTGAGTCTGACTGGAGGAAAACCTTGCAATTGTCGGAGAGGATATGTGACATGCGCTTCGAACTGCTGAAGGTGACACAGGACAAGAGCTACTAGATGCTCTAAGCAGCGAGAGCGAGGCACAGATGCGACACCTTATTACCATACTGAAGCCCTTCCAGTCTGCCATTGAAGACATGGAGTGCTGCCAGACGCCCACGCTGCACAAGGTGGTTCCCTGGTTCCTACATCTGCGTAACACATGCGCACCTGACAGTGGCGACACTGAAGTATTAGCGGCACTGAAGAAGTCTATAAAACACTGCCTTGACCAGAATGAAGAGGTCAATTTATTACACAAAATTGCAGTGTTTTTTAACCCCCGCATGAACAGCTTAAAGATACTATGCCCAGAGGAAAGAGAGTTAGTGCGAAAAGAGGTGAAGCGTTTAGCTCAAAGCCACATTGACATCAGCGAACCACCCAAGAAAAGACCTAAACAGGAAAGCAGTCCTCTGGCATACTTGGAAGATAAGGACAACGAACAAGACGATGACAGCACTGCCGAGCGAGAGATCCTCCTATACACTATCATGAAGGACTATACCGACTCTGAGGACCTACTGCTGTGGTGGCATAAGAACTCGAGCATGCTGCCCCTGCTGGCCGCCGTGGCTCAGAGAGTTCTGGCCGTCCCTGCCTCAGCTACACCCACCTCCCACCTCACCAAGATCGCTGCCAGGATGAAAGATCTGGGGTCGTCGTGGGGCAACGAACACAACATGGATGACTTAGTGTTTCTACATTCACGCCTTTCACAGTCAACAAATAACTCAGGTTAGTGGCTATGATTTGCTTGTTAATATCATGATTGATATGGTGTTACAGCTAGAGCGAGTCGTTTGATCATATAGTAGTTTTAACATGATGTTGAGTGTTTAGCAGACTTTATGTATCACATAGGGTCATAGGGAGGTAGAAGTAGCCTATCAAGCTCAAGTATGTTTATTGAGATAAGAAAAATACATCTCAAAGGGATAGAGTAGCTTAGGCTATTTCTACCCCCCTTTGTAGCCTATAATAGGGCTTAGGAACCCTACAGTATGATAGGTGGTATCAAAATCTCGTTATAGTGGACAAGAAGCCTGTATTTAGGCTTATCGAGTCCCCCTAGAGCAACTACTGACCTTCCCCAAGATGCAACCCACAACAAGCAACTAACTCCCAGGTACTTATTCAACTGCTAGGTGAACAGAGGCAGCAGGTGAATAGATACGCGCCCAAGCATCTCTGTCCTGCCAAAGGTTTGAACCAGTGTCCCATGATTGTGAGCCGAGAATATTAGACAACAGTGCTACAGTATTTATACTGCACTGTTTAAAGGTGATAGTACTTGACTTTTGAGTACCTGTAAATACACTGTAATATAAGTTAAGTTTAGGATACATAGATTATGTGGTTCTGTGAGGGGCTAGATATGTGTGTATTATACTCAAAGGCTCCAGAATATACCCGAAGGCCACCATCTCACTAAGTTAGGTTAGGCAGGCGATGAGTCACAATAACGTGGCTAAAGTATGTTGACCAGACCACACACTAGAAGGTGAAGGGACGACGACGTTTCGGTCCGTCCTGGACCATTCTCAAGTCGATTATGGACCGTCCTGGACCATTCTCAAGTCACAATCGACTTGAGAATGGTCCAGGACGGACCGAAACGTCGTCGTCCCTTCACCTTCTAGTGTGTGGTCTGGTCAACAAGTTAGGTTAGGTTAGGATATCAGTGTCCATTATAAACTAAACTATTGTTCCTCCTGCAGATGGGTGAAGATGGCTGCCTGGAGCGTCGTTTGGGGACCCAGCAGTCAGTAGTTCAGGGCGACTACGATACCTGTGGTGCGATGGCCCATGTCTTAATCACACTACTGCATCATTGTCTCACATACCTTCCCTACTGCTGGGAAAATACTTAAAAGTGCCATTATATTTGTGATAATAGTCGTTTGCTTGTGCATAAGCAGGTTAGCAATTCGTTCCCATGTATTTGCAAGATCGTATGTAACACAGGAATATATACACCGAAAGGTGTATCTCGTTTCTCCTGTGTATATACTAAGTTTATTTTAATCGTGGATTATGTTCAAGACAGAATATTTGCTGATTGATTGATAGAGATTAAGCCACCCAAGAAGTGGCACGGGCATGAATAGCCCGTAAGAATATTTGCTGCTTGTTATTTCCTATCTCCAAACTCAGCCACGCACGACGGATGTGCTTATCAGTATATATACACTTCAGTTACCTACTATCGTTACCTATTTTTAGTGATTAAAGTATATGGTAGATAACAAGGAAGACTGCAACCTTATTGATCTTAGCAATAGCTAGGCTCTCTTGGCCACCATCTTAGTTTTAGTTCACATTTACAAGTTTACCTTCGGCTTTCCTTGTCTTACTTAGCACGGCCAATAAAAAATTTCTTTAACCGTTAAACAAATCTCTCATCATATGCCTTCCATTGTAAAAGCATAATCCGTCACTAGAATTTGCAGTTTAAAAATTTTTCCGAATGAGTAAACAATATTTATTGAATTACTAGACTCCGGGAGATGCCTATTGTAAAAAATATATATTGGAATTGTTTCACAAAGTCGTTGTGATTCACAGTTTATACAGCATTTGAGATATTCATAGCTTTCATTTAATATTCGTTATGAGATAAAAATATATATATATATATATATATATACTTTCCATATATATTTGCCTATATTTATATATATATATATAACCTATATATATATTTCATACCTATATATATAAAGTGCAATTGTAGGGACTCATATCCTCGGAGAAGAAAAAATAAAGTACTCAGAGAAAAAAATGTGGATTCTCACTGAACACTGAATAGATAAATATATATAGGAAATATATATATAAATATATATATATATATAATATATATATATATATATATATATATATATATATATATATATATTTATATATATATATATATATATATATATATATATATATATATATATATATATATATATATATATATATATGAGTTTTCAGTTATATATATATATCAGATAAAACCTATATATATATGAACATATATATATATATATATATATATATATATATATATATATATATATATATATATATATATATATATATATATATATATATATATATATATATACACACACAGCACACATGGGTGCTGTTTAGGATGTGATCTCTGTATAGTGTATAACAAGTGGTTTTTTTATATACCAGATCCCGTTTGTATTCACTGTATTTTATATCAGACGAATTCTATGTGCCTTATTTCTATATTCCTTGTTGTATTTGCTTTATTTTGCACTGTATGCCATACTGGATTCGTTATTTTGAACCACATGTTGCACTAACTAATGTATTTTGTACTGCACATTGTATTGTACCTGCTGCATTTTGCAATTTCGGACGCCTTATTGTATATGTTGTATTTTATACCAGATACCATAATATCTGAATTTTGTATTAAATGCTACATTATGCCTTCGTGTTTTATACAAAACATAATAAATCTGCTGTTGTGTTCGGCCATATTGTGCCCGCTGTATTTTGTATCGAATGATGTATATATCTGCTATAATTTGTACTGGACGACATATTATACCCGATTTATTTTGTACCAAACGACGTACTACACCAAATTCAATTTCAAATGTTTATTCAGGTAAACGTACATATGTACACAGAAGATGAGTTACAAACATAATGTTGGATTTATAGATAGAGCTAGTACATACAGTACCTAAAGTCACTACTACGCATAGAATTTCGGGCAAACACCGGCTGTATTCTGTACTGGGAGTTTGATGTTTGATTTAATGGATACAAAAGTACTTTTTGTCTATTTTGTTCATTTCTCCGTGATTCTTTTTTCGTCTCTATATATCGCATTGTAATTTCTTATTTATATCTTCATATCTTAAAATATGTGTAATACTATATATTTCATATATTTTAGGATATGAAAATATATGAAGATTTTCATTTATATCTTCATATATTTTCCACACGTACACACGTTTTGAAGATAACACTTCTTCAATGCTAAAAAAAAAATCACAAATTACTAAGCAGAAAATTAGCTAACAAATACACATAAACACTCAAAGTTTTACATATGGTATATTAATAATAATTATCTAAAGATATATAGATATATAAGACCTAGCAGCCTATTCGCGGAGGAACTTGATGCGTGAACAATGGACTCGTGGATTAAACTGTTGGTTTCGTTAGTCACATGAAATCAAGGATTTACCTGTAGTTGGTTTCGAGAGTTCTACTGCGTAATGTTAAGCTCGTTAAGGTCCAGAAAAAAAAGGCAGGAATTCTGTATAGTGAATAAAGTCGCTAAATGACTAACGGTTTCACAATGAGCTAGTATCTACGTTTTCACTTTCTTTAATTTACGTAGATACTTGCACAAGTATCTACGTTTTCTATGCATCAGACTCGATAGGTTAGGGGGGATGGTTGGGTTTGTACGTTTATAGTTAGGTTAGGAGGTTGGATTTGATTTGGAATGGCAAATCAGGAGAACGGGCTGCTGGTATTGTGGTTCAAGAATCCCTATTGTTCTTACTAATTGCTTTTGTGTACAATTGACACCAGTAATTCCATCTATCATCATACTAACATGCAAGAGGAGCCACACATCTATGGATCATCCAATAGAATCAGCAGACTTCTAGATGTGACTACTGCTCGGCTTAGACTCGGTTACAAGTATCTCTGGGAATTCTCATTATCTGCCGATGTAGACCTGACCAAATGTGAACTGTGTCAACAAAATTATTCGCACACCCCCCGTCACTATGTAACAGAGAACGAAAAAAATATGTGAATTCAGAGACAAGTCTAGAACAATTATGTGCCTCTGTAACCCTTCTATTACCGCCCACAGGATGGGTATGGGGTGCATAATAAACTAAACTAAACCATCCTGTAATGTATTTTGAGAATATATATTATCTACTATGTGTGTTTCAATGCCCACCAAACCCTAGCTCATCCTAGTCTTATCATTTTCAAGATCTTAGACACCATTCCAAGTTTTCTGGCGGAGCAGGATCACAGCCTAAAAATCTCGGTTCGGCTCCTGCAGCAGGACAGAAGCGTTTGGACAATATTGCCTTTCCCCTGATGCCTCTGTTCACCTAGCTAGTATATACATACCCCAGGAGTTAGGCAACTGTTGTGGGTGGCATCCTGAAGAAGGTCAGTCGGTGGTCCAACCTTCCTGTCTCCGGCGATGTGTAACTAAACATGTACAAACACAAGTTCAAGTTCAAGTTCAAGTAAGTTTATTGAGACAAGAAAAAAAATACATCTCAAAGGGATAGAGTAGCTTAGGCTACTTCTACCCCCCCTCCACTTCAAGTCCCTATTACTTAAACCACACTACAGTACTTCAAGGAACTATAGTTCTGACAGAAAAACAATCACTGACTTGCAAAGGGCAGAAAACATTAGTATCAAGCGCTATTAGTATTAAGAATTATGTTTACAACTGAGAACTATATACATACGGACAGCACATATAGCCTCTCCCAAACGGTGTCAGTATAAATGCCGGAAATAGACAGGAATATCGTTAATTATGGCAGGTGGCTGTAAGTAATTTATTTATTTATATACAAGAAGGTACATTGGGTTTGTGAGAATACATAGCATAGTACAGTATTTACACTCTTGTAAAGCCACTAGTACGCGCAGAGTTTCGGGCAGAATAAGGAATCCCAAACTGTGATTATAAATGCCAGTAAAACTTTACATTGTATTTTGCATATACAAAGTTTATATTTCCATTTAGAACGCATGTATCGGCAGTTCTTAAGGTCTCTAACTGCAGTGTTATTGGAAAAACAAACTGTATTTCGGATTTTGTAATCGTGTCGTGCATTATAAATCAAATAAAAAATAATAAATAAATGTTTATTCCGGTAAAGTACATATATACAAGAGGTTTTACAAAAATTGATAGATTTATAGATAGAGCTAGTACATACAATGCCTAAAGCCACTATTACGCAAAGCGTTTCGGGCAGTATAAATTATATTCTTATAACTTTTGTATAAGAATATATTTTCCGCCAACTGGAAAAGATCAGCAGGACAACTGGGGGACATTTGACAAGCCGCCGGCTCCTGTGCTCGTCGAGACCACTAGTGCAGTCCCCGTGGCGTAGCGGTTAGACACTCGCCTGGCGTTTCGCGAGCGCTTTGGCCTGGGTTCGTATCCTGGCCAGGGAGGATTGACTGGACACTAATCCTTAACTGTACCCTCTGTTTAATCAAATAGTAAAATGGGTACCTGGTTGTTAACCGATTTGGCGGTTCGTATTCCGGGGAATATTAGGATTAAGGACCTGCCCGAAACGCTATACGTGCTGGTGGCTGTACAAGAATGTAAGAACTCTTGTATATATATAAAAAAAAAAAAAAAATAAAAAAAAAAAAAAGAGTTGGTGGCCCTCAGGTAAATATAAAAGTTTATGGTAGAGATTATCTCTGCGTTTTCTATCATACGGATTGACAAAGTACGATACCGCAAAGGTTTTTTAGGGATACTATGGTAATATTAAGGCTAAACATATTCAGGTAAGGCTAAAGGCTAAACATATGATAGAGAAGTTGGTCTACTATTTGAGGCAATCATGCACTATATATACTTGCAAAATTATTCATTAGTGTTAATACATTGGCATATTCTTCACAATTACTGTCAATTAGCTAAATGGGTTCCGGCAGAAGTAGAAGAGTGAGTGGTCAGCGTCCTCGTGGAGCACCTCGTCCTTGGTTCAGTCCCCGGGCAGAACCGAAACGGTTGGGCACATATTCTTTCACCCGATGCGTCTGTTGCAGCTAGTTGCAACAGACGGGAGATAGGCAACAGTTGCAACAGATACATACATGGGAGTTAGGCAACAGTAGCTCAGTCGATTAAGGCAGCGTCTGGGATGCTCCCGGATGCAGGTTCGAATCCTCGTCACGGCCCTTGTGGATTTGTTCATGTGATGCATCGCGTTAGTGTGATCTCTGTGTGTAAGAAGCAGAAATAGCCTAAGCTACTTTATCCCTTTGAGATGTATTTCTTTCTTATCTCAATAAACATACTTGAACTTGTGGGTTGCAGCTTTGTAAAAGTCAGCAGTTAGCTTAGAAGAGCTTAGATGATGATGATAATATACAAAATCTATCTCTAAAGTTGATAGAATTCTATTTTTTTACGGTGACAGAATTCTATTTTTTTAGGTTTACGTAGGCTGAAATTTCTACTATCCAAAATTTATTTGAAACTGCTAGGATTATTGAAGGTTATGCATTTTATTATTTGTTTATATTGTATTCAACTAAACTTTATAAGTTTGATTAAAATGAGGCTATGTTAGTCAGCCGACGCGAAAGGTGCATTAATTAACGTTAACTTGATTTGTGATAAAGAAAAATGGCATTTTTCTCAACTATAAATAAATATTATTATAATTATTATAACATTGTTATAATTTTGCGTACACCCCACGAACTACAAATTTATAAATGATTGCCAATAGAGCCAAAATACCTAACCTAACCTAGGTCTAAGTATTCATTAAATTACCCGAACCAAACCTACCTGAATACCCACGCCCAGAAAACGGGACATCACGTCAATTACCATTATTATACACTATTTTTTGGCCTTAGGGAAATTATACGTAAAAAGCGATGCATTATTTCAGAACAAGTATAGCCTATAGCGATCAGTATTGGTTAACGCACGCCATCATAGGCTTCCCAAGCAATACCAATAGACAATTACGGTTACGCCTGAAAGATACCATATATATCTCTCTCTACTGGCCTTGACGGGGACAGGAAGCTCATGGGTTGTCAAAGGTCTCTTCCCCCCCCCCCCCTCCCGAATTAAAAATAAAATAAAATAAAATAATTTATTTAGGTAAGGTACATACATACAATAAATTTTTACAAAGATTGGTTGACTTATAGGTAGAGCTAGTACATACAATGCCTAAAGCCACTATTACGCAAAGCGTTTCGGGCATGATAAACTTAAATGACAAGCTTAATACTAATTGAGCATAATGAGTAGAATGAAAACAAGAAATGAAAACATAGATGAAAAAGCAGCACAAATACAATTAAGTCGACAAACAGCGCTCATTAAAGAAAAACAGACATTGGTTGACAATTGTTTCTGAGATTCTTTTCCCAAATGAATTTTGAAATGATGGCATTTACGGCTTCGGCAGATATGTGTGGGAGCAACGCATCGTTAATTCCTCTTGGGTTTGGTGTTGAGCTTCAGACCTGTCAACCCATGGAAGGTTGCAACCACAATTGCAAGTATATTTTACTCCTGAGCATAGTGCAATACTAAAATAAACTCTCAGTCTATACCCACCGAGAGGCTTGGTATACCTCTCAATATATATACATGTCTCACTTGGCCTCTGCAGTCAGTTCATTATTCTTAATAAGTCAGTTAATAATAAGTTAGCTAATTACTGTTAGTTCTATGTATTGCCGTCTGTAATGACTCTCACCAATAATCCAATAATTACAGGATATTCCTTGGGTATCAATAATTCGCTAATTACCATGGAGGTCGTAATAGCCATCCGGTCTTTGTGGCGAGGTGGACCTTGTCATCAGTGAAGATATTTTACATTACATAATTAGCCAAACAAGTCGTAGTCGCATTTAATGGTAGAAAATAATAAAAAAAATGGTTAAGTCAATAATAACTTAATGTATTAAACATTAACAAGTTTAAATGAAGTGATGTTGCGACGTCGTACCGAAGTTCATAATGCTGGTTATGCACGAACGTAAACTTAGGAACAGAAGTGAACTTAAGATCTGAAGTGAACTTATGAATGCATGAATACGAGGTTTCACTGGAAGCCTCAGACCCGCCTAGAGGATTCAGCTCAATCCCAGGTTGCCTTACTTCTCTAGCATATCGTAGTCTAGTGGTTTATAACGAGTGCTTGGGAGTACCCAATGTGAAGGTTCGAATAATAATAATAATAATAATAATAATAATAATAATAATAATAATAATAATAATAATAATTTTATTAAAAAATAAAAAACAGAAAACAGTAGTTATTTCGCGTTTCGGGCAGATTGTCTGTTTTTGTGTTCTTTGAGTGAATGATTTTGTGGAGATTTGAAGGGTGAAGATTTGTGTGAAAAGTGTGGTGTGGTGTGGAGGGTGTGGTGTAGCTGGTGTGGAGGGTGTGGTGTAGCAGGCTTGGCGGGTGTGGTGTAGCAGGCTTGGCGGGTGTGGTGTAGTGTGTGGCTGGATAAAGCTATATAAAGGAAGATCATCTGAATCTTGTGCATAATACTGATGAGAAAACTTTCCCCTATTATTGTAGAGAATACCAGAGAATCACAAGTAATGAGACCTCACTCTCACTCTCTTCTTCGCTCTTCTCTAGTGTGAGAGGCAGAGTGGGTGGGTGGCTAAGAGTTAAGAGAGAGAGTGCAAGGGCGGGTAAAACTGCGTAGTTGAGAATGACACAGTTGGGGTGGACGTGGACAAAATGCAACATGTTTTAAAACTCAATAAACCTCATAGATTTTCTCTCAATATACTGGTTTAATTTCTTCTGCATCCCCCAACTAATCTTTATTTACTGCTATGCTAAGTAAAGTTGTATTTTTTTTTTTTAGATGCAAGCACTAATTACAGTGCGACGTCAATATATTGTGACTGAGTTTGTTGGGGACTGGATGGGATATGTAGATGTGAGAGCGTTACCTCTCTGGTTCACCACCTTCAAGGCGCTGGGACTGGCAACTAGCCAGCTCTTGGATCTCTTCTTAAGTTCAATGAACATGAAATCCAGCTTTCCGGGAACACCTTTATAGTGAGTTTTATATTTATCATATTTACTAATGAGCTGTGGCAGTCTCTTGATGGACGGTCCATTTTTTTGTTAATTCTTGGCAATATCTTTTTTTTTTTCCATCGGGAGATGAAATATGTCGTTGCCCCAGAGTGCCAGCCTTCAAGCAAATACAGAATATAACATATCAACAAATTTCACACAGCTACCACAGGTCTGTGAAGCAGCAGCGATATGCCATGACTTACTGAAGTTATACTCGTATATCACCTTCCCCAGCGAGGGGAGTCGACAGGTCAGAGGGGAATGGGAATCTTCACTCTACAGTTTATGGGATTCGATCGTGCGTTCCTCACAAGCGAGCCACAAATGTGACGCGATACCAGAAATCCAATGCCCCCGGACACGTGACAGGCGTGGACTCTGAGGTATGCAAGAGAAATTGACGGTAAAATGAATAGGAATACACCGGCCGCACTGGCAACCGGCCCTGTCCGCCTCCCCCGCCAACCGGATCGTTACTAGCTGTTCCTCGCGCTGCCCTCACCCCCTCCCCAAACCGGTTACCCTCCAATTAACATCTCACAAAGCCACTGTCATAACCTTAAATGATGAACATCATTGCCAAACTAGACCCCAGATGCCCCCGGGGGGCAGCAGCACGAACGAGAGAGTAGAAGGGGAGGAAATGTGCATGTGGGCGGGCCGGGAACATGAGCAACCCCGGCTGGAGTGAAGGCGGGGCGGGCGCGGCCGGGCCGTAAGAGCCGCAGGGAAGAGAGTAGTATGGTAGCCAGTGTGGAGGTGGGGAGCGCTGCTGAACCTCGTGCCACCTCAAACTTCTTAAATATAACATAAAACACTCAGGTTAGGATTAATGTCAGGATGCAGCCGCCTCCAAGGAAGGTAAGTCCGTGCTAGGAGATGCTTTTGACCTCCTTCTTCCTTCCTGGGATTACTTACTAGTGGAATATCTCTCTCTCTCGTGTTGAGACAAGGTGAATGTTCTCCAAAGGGACTCTTGAAGCTTAACATTAAAGCAACAAGAGAGATGGTAATCCGCTCGAGAAATCAATGGGGGTGTGGGTCATGGGGTGATAAGAGGGTGTTATCGGTTATCAGCTGAGCACCAAAGGGGGAAGGGGGAGGTGTTATGGCCCCACAACCATGAGGAACTGATTATATTCAACCTTTTCCTCCCCATCTGACGAACCCACACCCATGGGTAATGGACAGTGTCTACCCTCCACCCTCATGGGTAATGGACAGTGTCTACCCTCCACCCTCATGGGTAATGGACAGTGTCTACCCTCCACCCTCATGGGTAATTTACAGTGTCTACCCCTCCATCCTCATGGGTAATGGACTGTCTACCCTCCACCCTCATGGGTAATGGACAGTGTCTACCCTCCACCCTCATGGGTAATGGACAGTGTCTACCCTCCACCCCCATGGGTAATGGACAGTGTCTACCCTCCACCCTCATGGGTAATGGACAGTGTCTACCCTCCACCCTCATGGGTAATGGACAGTGTCTACCCTCCACCCTCATGGGTAATGGACAGTGTCTACCCTCCACCCTCATGGGTAATGGACAGTGTCTACCCTCCACCCCCGTGGGTAATGGACAGTGTCCACCCTCCACCCCCATGGGTAATGGGCAGTGTCTACCCTCCACCCTCATGGGTAATGGACAGTGTCTACCCTCCACCCTCATGGGTAATGGACAGTGTCTACCCTCCACCCTCATGGGTAATGGACAGTGTCTACCCTCCACCCTCATGGGTAATGGACAGTGTCCACCCTCCACCCTCACGGACCCAAAAACCCCTTTAGACTTTAGTGGTTCAAGTTCAAGTATGTTTATTGAGACAAGAAAGAAATACATCTCAAAGGGAAAGAGTAGCTTAGGCTATTTCTACCCTCCCCCTATTTTTGTGGTCCTCGCTATAATTTATAAACTCACGCATACGAAAGAGCGTATAGTTTTGTGATCATCTTAACCAGAGCTAGTCTTTTTTTAGGAATATTTCTACCTATTGCATGATATCGAATCCCCGATGGAGAACTTTCGTGAGAAATAATCGAAATTGTATGCAAGAGCATGCGAGAAATAGAATGGGTAGATGAGAGAGATATCACTGGAGATGGGAGATAGGACGAAGTAGATGGGAAATAGGACGGGGGTAGATATAGTACTGAGTAGATATGAGAAATAACACGTGGTAGATGGGAAAGCAAAAAGTAGATAATTATATGCTTGTATTTTCTCTCTATATACTAGTATATTTTGGGACGCACCTACGATGCTACAATCGTGGGTGTGTGTGTTCAACAGAGTTTATTCCTGAAGATGTCACATTGATGACGAAACGTCGAACAAATAAAAAGGAAAAGATTAAGTGATATAGTGTTTTTTCACTCTCCGGATGGTAGAAGATATTTGTGTTGAATCGAAAATATCAGGAAAGAAAATTAATAATAGTTACACTGCTGTTGTGTTGAATGACATTATATATATATATATATATATATATATATATATATATATATATATATATATATATATATATATATATATATATATATATATATATAATGACTAACCAACCCCCAGCAACCCTTGGGGTGCATTCGGAAGGTTGGCTTGTATAAGAATTGCCTTTAGGAATGTCAACACACGGGAGACATCTCCCGTCACGCAGGGTGCAGTCGCACCTCCACAGATCTCCAGTATCATCTATTGATACTGGTAATGGCTCAAAAAGGCCTCCACTTACGGGCTATTCATGCCCGTGCCATCTTTTGGGTGGCTTAATCTTCATCAATCAATCAATCGAGTGTCAACAGTGTCGTTGAGGAGTTTGTGTCGTTAAAGTCAGATCAGTTCTGGAATATACGGCATGGCGTAGGGTCCTCATTTCGGTCAGTACAGAATGATGCTGGACAAAGTTCAGAAATATATCACCAGAATAGTCCAAGAACTAAGAGGTTTGAGCTATGAGGAAAGCTCATAGCTTTCAGCTACGCCTCAGTTCACCCATTCACTGCTGGGTGAAAAGAGGCGCACAATTAAGGATTGACGCCTAGTTAATCCTACCCGGCCAGGATACGAACCCCCAGGCGGTTCACTTCGCTCGCGAAGCGCGGGAGCGAGTGTGTTACCACTGCGCCAAGGGGACTGCTTAAGATAGACAACCAATGATTAGAAGGAGTAGACAACCAATGGTTAGAAAGGCCGGGCTCAAGCGCTAACAGCTCGATCCTGCCGGCTCAAAAGAGTAAACACACACACACACACACACACACACACACACACACACACACACACACAGTTTATGGATTATATTCAAGAGGAAATCAGGAAGAGCAGGGTAGAATGGCAAGGAGAAATATCTAGGCTTACTAATGAATTTGGCAGGAATAAGGGAAGCTTGGCAGGGGAAGGGGGAGTAGTAGTAGGTGGAGTAGCGGGTGTAGGAGGGGTGGGGGTCAGCCAGGGAGAGGGCCACCAGCATGACCCTGAACTGAGAAAGAGGACAATCATAATCCATGGATTACTTGAAGCCAGGGCACCATCGAGGCAGGAAAGGATGGAGATTGAGGATTTGGAACTACAGGGGATCTTGAGAGACATGAGAGCCCAGATGGCAGGGAATGAGGTGCAAGTCCACCGACGCATTGGACCATACAACTGTAACAGGAAACGACCTGTCCTGGTACAGTTCACTAACGAAGAGGCAGTGGATTACATACTGCATCACAAACACCTACTCAGAGGTAGCGAAAATTACTACAACGTATTTATTGACAAATTCATGACGAAGGAGGAACAGATTGCCCACAGAGCATGCAAACAACAATACGACTCTTCCCATTTGAGCGCAGCTACACACCCCAGTGCTAATCCACCCCATGCTAACCAGCTCACAAGTGCTTCTCAGGTCACCCCTTCCCCAAATCAGCCGCCCCTGCTTATCTCCCCAGCACATCCCTTGACCCCTCTGACCCCACTGGAGTCAAATTCATCCCACATTCCAAGGACCCCCTCATCACCTCAACCCCCAAAACCCGTCCAGCCCTCATCCCCTCAACCCCCAAAACCCACCCAGCTCTCATCCCCTCAACCCCCAAAACCCATCCAGACCTCATCCCCTCAACCCCAAGAACCCACCCAGACCTCATCCCCTCAACACCCAAAGCCTACCCTGCCCTCACCCCTCCTCATCCCCTCTCCTTCCATGTGACCCCCCACCCTTGCGAGGGAGGTGGGAGGTCCCCCCCACCCCCTCTATCCTTCCCCCTCCCAACCTCTCAACCTCTATCTGTCTCCCAACCTTACGCTATCTCCCAACCCCTCTATGCCCTCCCTAATCTTCAGACCCAGTATGCCCTTCCAACTCCAGACCTACCTACCCAGGCCCTACCCCAGACCCTCCTACCTACCTTCCTAGAAGCCCAGCCCCCAGTAGCCCCCCAAGCACCCCTCCTGAACTCTTTCACCCCCCATACACCCCCCGGACCCCCCCAGACACCCCCCGGATCCCCCCGGACATCCCCCGGACCCTCCCCGCCCCCAGTCATCCCCCAGACACCCCCCAGATCCCCCGGATCCCCTCTGCCCCCAGTCACCCCCCAGACATCCCCCAGATCCCCCCAGACCCCCAGAGAAAGGGAGAACTCTGGTACAAGAGTTTCCATGAAGAATCTCAAGGTTTGGTACACCAATGCTGATGGGGTATCTAATAAAGCAGAAGAGATAAAAGAAAGAGTGAGTGAAGCAGATCCTGACATAGTTGCAATTGTGGAAACTAAAATTAATGACATGATCTCAGATGCAATCTTTCCTGAAGGGTACCAGGTGATACGAAAAGAGAGGACACAGAGACAGGGAGGGGGAGTAGCACTCCTAATAAAGCGGAAATGGAAGTTTGAAGACCTGGGAAATCGAGTTACCAATGAGTGCACAAGCTTCATACATGGAACTCTGACAGTAGATGGGAGGAAGATTGTGATCATGGTAATCTACAATCCCCCACCAAACAGTAGAAGACCCAGGCAGGAGTATGATGACAACAACAAAGCATGTATAGATGAACTGCAGAAGGCAGCAACACTAGCCCACAGAATGAGAGCGAAGCTGCTGATCATGGGGGACCTAAATCATGGAGAGATAAATTGGGAATCAAGGAATCCCCATGGAGGGGACGAAACGTGGGGAGCAAAATTAGTAGATGTTATAGACAGGAATTTCCTGACACAACATGTGAAGGAAGACACAAGGGAAAGAGGAGGAGATGCACCGAGCCTATTAGACCTGATTTTCACCCAGAACGTAGAAGATATCGAGAATTTAGAGCATGAAATACCTCTAGGGGCCAGTGACCATTGTGTCCTAGTCTTTGACTACATGATGGAATTCAAACTTATGACCATGGGACAAGAGATCTGGGAAAGGAGAGCTGACTACAGGAAAGGGGACTATATGAGGATGAGGGACTATCTGGGTGAAGTGCAGTGGGAGGAAGAAATTAGAGGAAAAACAGTCCAAGATATGATGGACCTAGTCATACAGAAATGCCAGGAGGCCGAAGAGAGATTTATACCAACGGTAAAGGGAAAAAATAAAAGGGAATATAATAACCCATGGTTTAATAGACAGTGTCAGGAAGCAAAAATGGCCAGCAGGCGGGAGTGGAGGAAGTACAGAAGACAAAGAACAGAGGACAACAGAAGCAGATACAACAGAGCTAGGAACGATTACATTAACATAAGACGAACATCGGAAAGGGACTATGAGAACGATATTGCAATCAAAGCGAAAAAACAACCTAAGTTACTACACAGTCATATAAGAAGAAAAATGTCGGTGAACGACCAAGTGACAAGACTAAGGAAGACAGAGG